CCAATGTTGACATCACTGGGTCTAAAAGGTTTATTTATAATTTCATTAGCATGTTCATATGCAGGGAGGGAAGTACCAGGGAAGCATCATATAAACAGATTAAACATCAGCTTTTAGTAGAATAGTAAACCATGGTAACACTTAACAAGACCAACAAAAGCATACATACAATTTTAACGGACAGTTTTAGAAAATACAGACACTGAGCTTTTTATAGTTAGGCCAGATGTTTCAGATGGCTGAGTTTATTGTGTCTATCAAAATACCAAAAAAACAAATGGTACCAGCCACAGTTTAAAAAAAACAGCATAACCTTTTAAACTCCTTAGAGCCCTGTGGACAGTGGTTGCAAATTACCGCTGAAAGACAATGCATGAATAGACACTAAACTTAGAAGAAACCTATTGCTCTGCAAACATCATACTCATCCATCAGTATTTAAATAAAAACAAAATGATGTACCGTAAAACTGTCTGTTATGCCCAAAGGAAGAGGAGTTGTTTAGGTATAGTTAGCCAGGTTACCAGAGGAACAACATGGTCCTAACTGTAGCACCAGAGCATATAGATGCAGGAAAACTTCCCAAAGTGAGGACAAGGAATAACGGACACCTATGGTTTGGAATTCTGTCAGAGCCACACTTAAATCAGCAACAGATGATATCTGCACCATGCTCAGGTAACAGTACTGAATGTCAGCCTGCTGATATGCACAGTACACCTAATCATGACACAGAAAGAACAGAAGAAGAAGGTGCAGGGCAAGACACCCCTGGCCAGAGGGAGGTGCGAAACCACCAGCAGCATGTGACACAATAAATAGCAACACTGAGGGTAAGCATTACGCTAACGAATAACATAAATCAACATTTTCTATAGAATTACCACTCTGCGGTGTCATGTACAAAGATATATGGTTCCAGGCATAATTCTCAAATGTTGGCAGCTGTGCATGAAGAAGACATCATTGACAAGATTGACAAGAATTCTCTCATATAGCTTATATTGGATACCTTAAGCACAATTCCAGATTAAATCTCATTGCCGGAGAGCCGAGGTAACATTTAATGCATTTTAATGCTGTGAGTTTCTTTTGGCCTTGTCATATAGCTCTCTTTCTGCTGCCAAATGTATAGAGTTTCCCTGGGAATTGGAGCAAAAATATACTACTAATGACCAGCGATAAAGTCAGCTGAACTCGTCTCGGAAGCTGTCTGGAATCCCACTCTACAATATGGCGATAGCAGCTGCTTTGAAGCCAAGAAACCACAACTATGCTGCAAGGGAACAACAATTCCGCCCTTAAAAATATGCTTAGGTCCATATTTTCCTCTGCTGATTGTTTACCACTGGAGCTTAACCTTATACGCCCTTTACAAAGGACATAATTTATGTTTTGTTTGTTGATTTATGATTTATATAATACATAAGAACCATTGAGCAGAATACATCTATTTATCTATCCATATACAGTATCTATATATCTATTCTACCTATCTAGTATGTACACCAATACACACTCTCATCAGTATCAGATGGATTTTTAAGGTTAACAGTGTTAGAGCTTGAGGTTATGGTTTCAAGGATACATTTAGAGTCAGTTAAGATTTTGTAGTAAGATAATATATGTTACAATCTGATTGTACAATTGCTATACAATCTCCTCCTTTAGAGGTACAAAATGTATGTACTTTGAAGGCCTACCTATATAACCCATTCAATCTGTACCCAGCCAGGAAGGACCTTCTGCTATATAGTTAGTTTAAGGTTAGGGTTTATGTTTTAAATGTTAGCTTATGTTTTAGGATTAAAGCAATTTTATGCTGTCAAAAAAACTACTATTATATATAAAGTGAAAGCACCTAGAGATGCATAGACATAGGTTTAGCAGCCCCCAAGTCACTACCCTTATGCTTGAACGCTGGGTCGATTAGATGGTCAAAGTATGTCCGCTCCCCACTGCCTTCCATGGATTCTTATTGGCCCATCACTATGATGGACTGCTGCTTTATGGCAATTCGTAGTGGACAGGAGGCCTAAAGCAGGCTTTAACATAAAAATGTTAGATAATATATATATACATATATATCTATACATACACACACACTATATACACGTACAGTATACACCCATGTGACACAGATGTGTAATTTATACCCATGTTAACATGTACCTGTACTTTGTCCATGCAGGGATAAGGCTCAGACTCAATGTATTGCCAACCCCTGCAGCTATTTATACTTACCTTTCCTTGGTTTGTCAACCACACTGTTTGCCAACACGAGCAAAGAGAAAACATTCTTTGTAAGTTTGGAGTTCCAACTTGGGACTTGTACAGGTCTAAGGACTGTCTCACTGCCTCCTTGTAACAGCATTGTATGCCTGGACTGCTACTTTCCATGCACCACTGCTATTAATTATCCAGCATACCAGTCAGATGACACTAAATTAGTGCTGGGTTGAAAAAGTAAAAAAAAGAGCACATTTTCCTTACACATGAAGGCTTCAGTGGATTTAGAAGAAAGAAAAATTGTATACGCAGTGTTCATCTTCAACTTCCATTGAAAGCTTCCTGTGTGTATAGGAAACTACAATATGACAGCACCATCTGACTGACTACAGTAGCTGGTTGTTGAACGCAGCAAACACACTGTACTAAAACAAAGGTGCACATAAAGGCATCATTGGGGGAAAAGGCTGGAAATCTGTCCAGTAACCAATTACTCCGCTCTTCAGACAAACAATAAGGCTGGGCACACACCTTACAACCATCGCAAGACTTTTGTCTTGCGATGGTTGTAAGGTACTTAAAAAAACGTACGATCTGCCTATGTTGCATAGGCAGATCGTACTTGCGATGATTGCAAGCCACGCCCCCTGAGGGGCGGGCTTCCGATGACCGCAATGCCGAACGGGCAGTGTGCGCTTGCGCACACCGGCCCGTGCGGCTGTTATCGTACGGACATGCCACAAACCCGCCGAACATCGTACGATGCTCGGCGGGTTTTCGAACATGTCCGTAAGTTTAAAGTCGTGCGACCTTACAGTAGTAGAGGTCGCACGGCTTCCACACACCTTACGATCATCGTACGATCGCGGGATTTCCCGCGATTATCGTACGATAATCGCAAGGTGTGTGGGGACCCTAAGACAGTCACTGGGTGTTCTGCTCTTCCGATTCACACACACATTCATGAATATTGCTTTTGCCCACAAAATGTCTGCCAAAATGTCAAAGTGACTGCAACAGGTTCACTTTAAGCTGTTAGCATGATATATTCACTCATTTTCAGTTACTCAAGAGACATTATACATAACAAATCAGTTACTAATGTATATTTCTATCCCCTGAAGACAGGAACAAAAAGGACACTACTGTTCTCAAGATTGACTTTTGCAATGCCTTTAGTCAAATAGAAAATAATCCCATTAACTTTGTGTTCTCCTATAGTGTCAGGTTTCATCTAGGAACACCTGTCAGGGAAAAGACACTTTGATCCTTTCACAACACGCAAGAAAAACTGTACAGGACATCTTTTCTGAACTAAGGGGAACTGGAAGAAGTGCCTGGTGTAAAGGAAAATCAGAATGCTGGAGGCTGTGCTGTGTGCTAGTAGCGCCATTTCTGAAATACTGTCATGGCTTGTCAGATAGCTGATGTCAATTAGGGGTGGGAGACATTTAACCCCTGCTGTTTACTGGAGGCCAGCTCCTATATGGCCTATAAGGCTTCTACCACATTTTGCCTGGCCTCTAAAGGCTCAAATTTTAGGCCAGGCAATGTGGGTCATGGAAAGCAATGTGGGTCATGTACCTACAGTCTGATCTTACAATCTCTTTTGCAACTACCAATAAATATGTGATGCGTTGGCGTTTCTCAATGGATATAAATTGTTTAGAGTATTTAGACAAACATTTGGTGTGCAATTAATCAAAGGGTGGAAAGGTTAGCTGTAACTAGATGCACGGATACCGATAGCCGCCCACTCCCAGCAAAACCCGCACAAACAAAACCCCCTGGCTGGGAGAATGGGGGTTTGGTGTGGTCCTGGAGCAGTCCACTGCTTAGTGGTTTCCCAAACACCCCAAGGATTATTTTACACCACTCCTGGTTAGTTGTTTTTATCTCTCTATACCACAAGTGAGACATTGGGACATAGAGACAACTGCTGTGTCACGGCTGCCAGTCCTTTTGTCATGTTCATGATAATATTCCATCTGTTTATTTCCTGATGAAGCAAAGTCTTTCTGGGAAATGCATTGAAAGCTAATATTAACCAGTTACTAATGGACCTTATGGAATTAATCTGATGTTTGTATATGACCCTATTACACATGTTGTTATTTCCATGTGATAGTAAAGTTAATGGCTGGTGTATATTTGTTTTTAGGGATGCACCGATACCGATAATGATTGGCCGGAAAGCCGGTTCCATTCCCCCTCGTCACTTGTGATGAGGGAGCATGGAGCCGACTTCCCGACCAATCAGGAAGCCAGGCAGCGTGTATCACATAGTGACGAGAAGCCTGGGGACGGCTTCCTTGCTAATCGGGAAGCCGGGTAGCGAGTCTTTACACGCTGCCCAGCTTCCTGGCTAATCAGGAAGCCAGGTGGCGAGTCATTACACGCCGCCTGGCTTCCTGAATGGGACTTCTGGTACTCGTTATTCGGTATCGACAAGTACAGAAAAAAAAATATCGGTACTCGTACTCGGTAACGAAATACCGGTATCGGTGCATCCCTATTTGTTTTGTAATGCACACTATATTGATTATATATGCTCTGACCCTAATTTTCACTTGAATAAAATAAATGTTTATATACATAAAAATTGTGTCAATGTGTTTATCTCATACAGTTGTATTTCCTTATACTATATACATATATTAGTCTCATTACGCTTGCAGTAGAACATTGCCATGTGATTTAAAACACTATTGTGTACCACCCTGCCAAAACAATTACTGTACATATAATAACAGATTAGAGCTGCAACTGACCTGTCCAAGCATATCCGGTGCAAGGGGAATGATGGGCCAAATGGCAGAGTATGCAGCAAAGAACACCAGCCACATTAGCATGCTCCCCCAGACGGCCAGGTGACTAAACTACAAAAGAAAACCACAGTTTATTATTAACACTTTTGTGTTTCCAGTTTTTTTGTTACATGCAACAAAGACCACTTAGAACAGCTATTTGGTCTACTAGAATGCTACCCAGAGGTGAAAAGATAACAGGGGAAACATGAGACAAAAATATAACACAATGGACCTTATGAACTATTGTTGGTGCTCTAAATATTTGGTGCATGGAAAGCTGCTTTTATGGGTGCAGCGAATTATAGTTCAGTTTGAAGGGTTTAAAAAGAATGATGCGACTTGTAAAGAAAAATCCCAAACATGACTTTTTGCACAAAAAGTTTCACAATCTGCATCAAATATGATAATTGTTCAAAAACTGGGTTTGTCAATATTTAGCGCAACAAAGGTGTGCAGTAGTGGACAAAGAGGATGATGCAGTATCACAGTTGTGCATTCTGCTATGTGTGAAATACACTATATGCACTGCAACATAATAGTTCTTTTGACATTCATGGTCCATATAGTGTCACATGGGACAATTCTTATTCCTCAACAACCACCAGAATCTTGTTTGCCCTGCATTTAGCTTGATGTGAAGATCCATTGTTGCATCTAGAACTCTGGATGTCATTTATATTACATTTTTCATGTATCTCAGCTTCTGGAAATGGTGAACAAAGATGCATTTTCAGATATAAAACCTAATTCCGAATATTATTGTTTAGGAGTTGATAGATATTGGTACTGAAGATATAACAGTTGTGGATGTAATAAGACAAAAAGTGGTTGCAAAAAGAGTGAAGGAGAGCAAAAGCACTGAGATACAAAAAGGGATGAAAAGGGTGTAAACAACGTCTATGAAAGGAATTTATCAAAACTGGAGCAGACAAAATCCGGAGCAGCTGTGCATGGCAACCAATCAACCTCTCTCTTTCATTTATAAATCTTAAATGAACAAGCTGAAGAGAGAAGTTGATTGGTTACCATGCACAGCTGCTCCAGATTTGATAAATTCCCTCTACGTGTTTTACCATGCATGTTTTAAGGCATGTTAATGCATGTGCAATGCTGGGCTTGCCCTTGTTCTTTTATAAATGCTAGTTCACATATATGTGGTGCAAACTCTGCCAGACAAAAAGTGTGTGTCCATTTTTCTGTCATGTGTCAACGCGCATTAAAAGGACCTCTGATATTGATTTTTCACAGATATACCATGACCTGGATAAATGAGAACCTTCACAGACACTTTGATAGAAATGGCAGCACAGGTCAACAAACCTGTCCACAGCAAAATATAAACAGTTTTATTCTATTTATAACCATTTTGCAGAGCTATTTGCCCAACAAATCTTTTTTAACATTCATTATGTGAGAATAGATGCAAAAATAAATGTACTAAGATATATTTGCTTTTCAGGTTGAATGTATTTGATGTAATACTGAGTTTTGGCCACTAGATGGAGCGTAAGAACATAAGAAATAAGTATTTATTTCCTATGCTCCTCAGCTTCATCTAGTGGCCAAAATGCAGTATTCCATTACCTACGTTCAACGTGAAAAGAAAATATATCTATGAACATTCAGAAAGATTCGTAGGGCAAATTACTCTATGCATTGGTTACACGTAGACCCCATAGATGTGAAGCTACATTGCCACTAAAATCCACAAGGGCTTATTTAGAAAAAATAACATTATTCCTTGTGATAACCAAAATACAAAATGGTCTGAACTTACTAATAAAACAGATCTATATATCAGGTTTGAAAAGGGGGCAGTTCAGGAAGTAAAAAGAACAGGGGAACTTGGCTTGAAAAGTATGATTCCAAACAAGTGTAATTTGTGAGTCTTGCATTTTGAACTTTCACATGACATGTCTACCTGTAAAATGACTTACTTTTGTCCATGCTGTAGTTTCCAGGCCAGCTTTTAAACAGACTGTCACCACAACGTACTGCAGACAGAACATATAAAACAGCATGAACTTTCAGCACACTCATTAAGAGAAGTTTAACAGGTTTTAGTTCCTTTTGTTTAATGTCTTGTACAACTTTTACAAAAATGTCATTGCGCTTTACAGGTTTTTCTTATATTAAGTTCACTAAAGACTATTAGAAAATGAAAAAAGGAGCAAAGGTAAATAGGGAAAGGGGCAAAGGTAAGTAGGGAGAGGAAGAGATAAGTAGGGAAAAGGTAAAAAGACAGGAAGGGAAGAGGTAAGAAGTGAATAGGTGAGAAGGTAAAGAGGAAGGAAGGAAGGAAGGACGGAAGGAAGGAAAGGAAAGATAAGTAGGTAAGAGGAGGGAAGGTGAGAAAAGAAGGGACGAGAAACCTAAAAAAGAAAGAGGAGGGAAGATAAGTAAGGAAAAGAGGGAAGGAAAGAAGGGAAGAGGAGGTAAGGTAAGTAGGGAAGAAGATGGAAAGGAGAAGGGAAGAGGTAGGTAATAAGTAAAGCAAGTAAACAAGCAAGAACAAAAGAAAATAAAAAGAAAGGAAGGAAAGTAAAAAGTAGAAGGTAGAAGCAAAAGGAGAATAAGATAAATAGGAAAGATGAGGGACAGGAGGATCAGGGAATCTAAAAATTGGAGAAGAGAAAAGGTAAGAAGTGAAGTAGAGGGAAAAGTAAAGTATAGAAGAGGAGGGAAAGGGAAAAGGGGAAGTCAAGTTTTGAAGGGGGTGGGAAAGGGGATGGGGAAGACAAGTAAGGAGGAAGTGGGAAAGAGAGAAAGGAAGGGGAAGGAAGGCAAGGCAGATATAGGAAGAATGGGGAGAAAATATCATGAGTGAAAGGCAAAAAAAAAGAATACAATAAAAGAATAGAAGAAGCAGGAAGGTAAGGGGGGAAGATCAAGAAAAAGGAGAAGGAAAGGAAAAATAGAAGAAGAGGAAAGGGAAGAGATGTAAAGATAAAAAAAGAAAGAAGAGTGAAAAGAAGGTGAGATGGGGAATTGAAAGAAAAACTCCAGGCAGACATTTTATTAAACCTTGCAGTAGGGCTACCCCCACACTGCCAGGGTTAACTGCTCATATTTGCCTAGGGTAAAAAAGGCTATACTCACCCAATACTCTGAGCCGACCAACTCTTACATTGGTCCCTGGAGCGTCTCTCTCCCTCCGCTTCAGCGATCTAGGAATTCTCGAGTCATCACGTCCAATACAGTGTATAGAACGTGAGGGCGCCGAGGGACATACTATCGCTGCAGCGGAGGAGGGGGAGGCTGGAGGTAACTCTGCCGGATCAGGTAATTATAACATTTTTTTTTTTACCCTAGGCAAAAATGAGCAGTTAACCCTTGCAGTGCGGGAGCAGCCCCACTGCAAGGTTTAGAAAAAAATTCTGCCTGGAGTTCTTCTTTAAGTAAGGAAAAGGAGCCACAAGGGATAATAGAAGAGGAGGAAAGGTAAAAAGGGACGAAAAACTACAGAGAAAAGGGAAGAAGTGAGAAGGTATGAATGGAAGAGGAAGAAAATGACAAAAGGAAGGAAAGATGAATGAGAAGGAGATCAAGACTGAGCTATAATATAAAGGCTGTGTGTGTGAAGCATCACTGATCTAACTGATTTTAATAGGGTAATGTCACTGTATTCTATTCGCCAACACAGCAAGTGACATCTTCCACAGATGTATTAGTATGCTTGGAAAATTAGAAATAACAATGTACTAGCTTTTGGAAAAGTTCAGGACTTTATGTAAGGGCCTGCAAAAATATATTAGGTTGCCCATCAAAACGGGAAATGATGAGCTGTTGGATTAATTGAAGCTTTTTGCGATTATCTGATACTTACAGTGTAAACAATGTTTCCAACGAATAAATAATCTGTAACTTGTCCATTGGTGAACACAGCATCTGGAGTGAAACAGAGAACATTGAAACAGATGCCACATCGGGATCAACCTTTCATTCTCGGAAAACCAAATAACATTTTCCAAATGTTGTTATGGGCAGCAGAGCCACATTAAGAACTTGTGTACCTGGCAAGCTGTTAAAGGAGAACTATGAGGCGAGTGAAAATCACTCAGCCTCAAAGTTCTAGCGACCTGTGACAATGAAACTGTCACAGGTTGGCTCAATAGATCGGGAGGTGAGCGAACACATACTGTCGCTCGCTCACTTCTCCATCCTGTCCCTGCAGAGAGCAGTGACTGTCACTCACGGCTCCCTGCAGGGATTCCCCATCCCCTGTCCGATCCTCCAGCGCTGACTGGCAGAACGGACGGGGCGGGTACAGCTGGCTCTGCATCTAGATAGGCAGAGCCAGCTGTCACTCACGCAGCTGGGTGGATCCAGACAGTAATGTCGGCATCCGTCCCGGCTGCGGCGTCTCAGTATACAGCGATCTGTAGCTCGCGGTATACTGAGCTTTGGGTGTCAGGAGGATGCTAGTTTGTGTCCTCCCGTTACCCTTAGGAGAACTATGGGGAAAAGCCCTGACCCCATAGTTCTTCTTTAAGGGTTGACTTTTTAATTCTAATGCAGCGCTACTCAAACACAATTCACTGCGTTTGGCTTGCTTTGCCTACAATGCAAAAAAAACTCTAAAAAGGACATTCTGGGACTTCCGGTTCCGGCGCCTGATGTAGTGGAAGCAGAGGAAAGAGCTCCCGCGCGGCCAGGGCCATAATCGATATTAAAACCTACTCTAACGAGCCTGCACAATCCCGGTTCTGTCGAAGCGCCACTATACACCCCGTGGCAAAGCCACCCCTACCCGCGGCAACCGCTCACAGCCCTCCAAGATGGCCGCTGCCTCTGAAAGACCAGACATCAGCGCTTCCTCGGACGATGACATGCCGGCGCTGTCTGAGCATGGCCGGATTGCGGCAGAGGTGGCGAAACTCCTTAAGCCTACTATACAAGACATTGTCCATAAGGCGGTATCAAAAAGGCATACAAGCCTTCCGACAGGAGCTACTAGGCCAGGCCCAGAGGATAACCGAAACGGAAAACCGCATTGTTCTCTTGGAAGAGGGAACGGAAGCATCCTCCTCCCAAATCAATGCTGATTTTGTTTTTCTTGTTGATCAACTTTAAAAAGTCAGACACTAAGCGATGTACTAGGTATTCGGGGAAATCTTGCAGGCCTCCCTGCTCACTTAGATTCCCTGTGTATCAGGGACAAACATTAAAGGATACCCTTAGGGATGCTTATGCAGTATGACATACTATCTTTAACAATCTGCCTCAATGTTTCTGTATTATTGCAACATGTCCCTGTTTTCCTGCTGTACTTATTTTTATGCTGAAAATAAAAAATGTTTAAAAAAAAAAAAAGGACATTCTGCAAATAGAGAAACATTAAGCAGGATATACACAGCCAAAGAACTGTTATCCAAACTGTACCAGTGTGATCAATTCGAATCTGCTAAACTGCATTTGATGAGCGCTTCAAACGCACGTCAAATACATATAAACAACACCCATGTACACAAACCATTACTCCAGTTTTTCACAAATTGACCCCAGAGTGTTCTCAGGTCACTTGCTCACTCGCAATCCTTGATAGACCCAATGATGCTAAAAATAATAATAAGAGTAATCATAATAATAGAAAACACTTCAATGCACTTCTTGGAATCAACAGGTTCCTGCTTCCAATTAGTAATGATGACTCATTCCACAAATGTGCAGAAGACCTATTAATTCCTTTTTTACTGTTTTATCCCACCAAACGTGCAATAAAAGATTCTGCCAATGCCTTCACCTTGGAGTCTAATATATGTTTTACAATTTTCAGATCACAATGTAATTTAGCAGTCTAGCAAACCATGCTTCAGCCATCAGCTTTAAAAACTAAAAAGATGAAAACTTCAAGTAAAACAAAATGGTTAAGGTGTTTTTTTCAACTTTAAGTAAACCAGTCATTATAGAACTATGGTCTTCAGAAGTTTCTTCCTTGGCTCTTCTGCTTTTTCTTTATCCCCACCACAGTGAGTCATTGATTTAGAACAAGAAACCATCGTAGTTGGCACTCATGACCCACATATTTGTTCCAGGTTAGTGACCTAGGTGACAAAGTAGTTCCTATCTTGCTGTCATTTAAATTAATTGGTAGATGTTAAACTGAACTCCAGGCAAATAACTAAATGCACAGTTGAAATATATTCACTTTTTTACTTTGAAAAATATTCCTAATTCTGTTCCACTGCATTTAAACAGTACAGCTTCTTGGTCACCAGCCTGTCCCACATGTTAATTGAACAGTGAAGGAACATCACCACATGGGATTTCTACTCTCCATTCCGTCAGAAAGCTTTCAGCTTTAAATTGACAGCAACATGCATTGCAGTAGAGCCTGACTAGCTCACACTTGTGGCCCTCCTGCTCCTAATCCTGCTGTGAAAGGGATTATGAGAAAGTAATATAATTACAAATGCAGCCACTTATACTGCCTTTATGTAAAATACATTTCATTATATTTTTAAGGGATATATATCTGGATATTTTAATTGGGCTGATTTAAAGTGCACCTCTGTAAAAACCATGAACTATTTGCACTTTACCAAGCAGTAAAGGCGCTTTAAAGCAAGTCACCCCTGACCTCTCTAGGTGCTTCTAAAGTGAAGTTATTCATTCTTAAAGTGACACTAAACTCAGGAGTTAAATCAGTGTCGACACTGTCCTTCCTTCTGGAGGGGTCCCTGTGTGTGTTGTAAAGTAGCCACCACTCCAAACTCGCTCCTGTGATGGAATATAATATCAAGACAAATTAATAAACTAAACATGAGATTGTAGACCATCACAGGAGTGAGCCTGGAGTGCTGGCTACTTTACAACACACATAGGGACCATGGGGAACAAAAGTAGCCCCCCTCCAGAAGGAAGGACAGTGTCAGCACCAATTCAGAGACGATTTGAGCATCCACAGCAGAGTGATGTTCAAAAACTTACATTTTTGTTAATAGCTAGAGTATTTGAATGCATTTTTAAAATGTAAGTTTAGTTTCACTTTAAAGATCATCAAAGATTATAACTAAGACTCCAAAGTTGTGTTTCAGTTAGCTTCTAACAGCTTAGAGAGACCTGCAATGTGTTTACATTTGAGGGCTGCCAGCCTGCCAAAATCTCCTCTCCATAAAAAATGTGAGATTTTAATAAGTGTGCTGTGAACTTTAATTTAAAAATTAAAATTTCTCCACACTGCCTGTAGATACAGAGATGACTGAGGGTTTGTTTTAAAGTGCTTTTGCTGCTTGTTCAGTATATGTAAATAATAGTATGCATGATCTAAGCAAAGCCTAACTTTAAGTCTATTTTTGGCAGAAATAAAAGAATAATTTTAAGTCATGGCACAATATACATTTTCAGGAGATGTTCTAGATAGATTTTTATGGGCGGGTGGGGGACACATGTATGCTACCACATAAAGGGAGCAGACAGGGTGTT